ACCTACCCTTATAAATTAGTTAAGGAACTTTCTGGTTTGCCTGAGGTTATACCGTAGGAATTATACTTTAGGTCTAACTTAGGTCTAACTTTGCTTAAGGTTACACCTTAGGAGATAACCTAACTGCTACTAACTGACAGGAGTGAATGTACACTGGATGGTTTCCAGCCCTGAGAGCGAGGTCTTGAGGGGACAAGTCACAAGAAAAGGCACTGAACGTGAAGATGAGGATGTGAAAACAGAGATGAGGTGCTAAAAGGGGAACAGAGAAGACCTCATATAAAAACTCTGTTTCCAGGGAACTCTTGCCTTGAGGCATGATTGAAGTCATTTGTATACTTACAGTTTCTCAATTGTGGTCATAAGGGAGGAATGGGGCGAGGAAGGAGAAGGAAATAGAATTGAAAGTCAACTAACAAGGCAGTGGCTTGTTATTTTCTAAATAAAAACTGTTCAATATGAAAATGAATATGTGTATGTTCATGTGTGACTGAATGATTGTGCTGTACACCAGAAATTGACACAACACTGTGAACTGACTATACTTCAATTAAAAAATATATATCGTGTATACAAAAAAGAAAACTTCAGATTTCGTCTGCTTATTCTCCTCTCCCCGCCCAGATGTGTGCTTGGAATCAGCCTGCAGTCACCTGTCAATAACTGCTCATTTCCCAACTGATTCTTTAACCAATTGGTGTAGCACAATTTTGCCTGCCACCTAGATGAGCTGTGGTGGGAACGGTTGAGAAGGTGGGGAGGAAAAAGTAATTTCAAAGTTGGGAAATATTTTTGAAATTGGAGGAAAAGGGATGGCAAAAAAATGTTCTCTTTCTCTAGAAATAAAAAAAAAATACAGACATCGAAATACATTGATGTGTCAACAAAATTTGGAAAAATGTTATGAGAGTGTTTGGTGAAATGGATACACTGACAGTGAGACTAACTGGGACAAACTTTCTGGAAAGCAATTTGGGGTTGCGTGCCAAATGTTTAAAATCAGTGACTCGTGGGTTTCTGGTCTGGAAAAGCTTCATGCATAAATTTGGAAAAGCTCGGTGCATAAAGATGTTCATTGTAGCAGCATGACTTACTTTAGCTAAAAAATTGAAAACACCCTAAATATTTAATAACAATAATAGTTTAGTACATTGTATGTTCACAAGGGGAATATACAGCCATAAAAATAATATTCATAAAGTATTAATAACATGGAGACTTTTTATGTTAAATGGGAAAAGTAGAATTATAGAGAAATAGAAAAAATTATAGAGCATAGGATCCCAATTATATAAAAAATATATTCAGAAAAAGCTACAATTACAATAAAATGAGAGCAGGCTTTCTCCTCAATAGTCCTAGTTTTTCAACAAAAATTTCTGTCAAGCATCTCAAGATTTGTTTTCTGGAATGCTAGCTAGCAAACCTCATCTTCTGCTTCCATGTCTTAAAACCTTTTGAAAAGGCAAAAAATCTAAGAGCTTGTCTCTAACAAAACTTCCAATGTGACCACAGCCTTCTATGAAATTGCTGGCAAAGCCTTGAACGGTGGTGAATGACATGATAAAGCTCTTCTCTCCTCCAGCAGCGGGACAGGTGGGTTATCTGGCACCCCTGGGCTTCACCTCTTCCTGAAGGACCACAGTTTTTAATCCCAGGAAAACTGCTATTTGCTGCAGGAATCTTTCGCCATCTCAAAAACAGCAGTAGCCTCTGAAATTTCCAAAAGCAGCTCACCTAGTAGAAATTCTTTGATAGGGAGGGTGAAGACATCCTGAAGGGGTGGAGGAGCTGACTGTTGCCAGAAGTACATTGGATTGAAGCCAGTTTCTCCAACTCATAGTGAGTGGCTTCTTTGGCTAAATGATGGGCTGACCATACTCCTGTTGAATGCATCAAGGAAGGGCTGTGTCTTGGGGAAAATGAAATACTGGGGAATTTCTAGGCTTGAAATTTCAAATCTTGTTTTGAACATGATCCCATGTGGCTCCTTTAATTTTGAGACCAGACAGTGGAAGGTCCACCACTGGCACTGCAATGTTTGTGTCCTATAGCAATAAACAACTACTTTAGCTGTGAAAGTAAAACCAAAGGATGCTCTCTAAAGCGACTACATAAGCTTTCCATTGTCATTTTCCAACTTAAGATTCTATTATGTACACAATGATAGATGTTCATAATCATAATTGTGGAATATGCTTGTGTTAATCCCCATCAAAGAGAAGCTGTTCTAAATATTGCAAGATAGTGGCCACATGATGGCTACATATTACCTGATTTACACTAGCACCCCAGGCCATCAGCACTTTTTTCATGGCTTAGTAATTAATGGCACAATTTAACATAAAAAAGGGATTTCTTTCACCATGACAATTTTTTAAGGAACAGGAGACATTTTTTAAAAAATCTTTTTTCATTGACTCTCTAAAACCCTTTCACGGGTATTCCTGGTGTACACTTTTCCTAGTGCTGCTCTAACAAAGTAACACAAACTGGGCTTCAAACACCAGAATTTGTTGTCTCACAGTTCTGGAAGCCCGAAGTCTGAAACCAAGGTCTGTGCCAGGCCATGCGCTCTCTGAAACCTGTAGGGGAAAATCCTTCCTTGCCTCCTCCTTGCTTCTAGCAGTTTGCTGCCAATCTTTGGTGTCCCTGACTTGCAGCTGCAGAACTCCACTGCAGGACTTCTTTGACATCACATGGCATTCTCCCCATGTCTCCATGTCTTCGCGTGGCCATCCTCTTAGAAGGGCATCAGTTCTAATGGATTAGGGGTCCACTCTGCTTCTGCCTGCCCTCATCTTTAACTGCATTTTTGCAATCACCCTATCTCCAAATAAGGTAACAATCCGAGATACTGAGGATTAGGACTTCAACTTATTTTGGGGGGTGACACAATTCAACCCCTAACTCCCGCGGTCCATGGATTCTGGGTCAAAAGCCTATTGAGACAGACAGAGGGGACCTTCTGGATTCAGAGAAAGAAGTGGGAGCAAGGCAAATGGAACCCACTATGCAATTTTGCCTGGAAGTCTGGAGGCAGTGATCTCTCCCTGCTGATTTTAGCTCAAGGACTCTGGTTACTCGTGGCAACATTTGGCCAATTCCTAGCTGAGATGCTTAAGTTCTATACTTGAGTCCAGCTTGCAAAGTGAAGTTTATGGTTGTGTCCAGAACACTCTCTGCTGATGCCATATGTTTGAAAAATGTCTGAATTTTGTGCAGAGACACACAAGCGGTATTTTTGTTAAGTGGAGTTACATAATTAGGGCATGGACTTGCATGATAATTAGCATGTGTAATTAGGCACAGACTTCTTGTCCTTTAATTAGACAATCAAGACATCTAATTACAAAATTAAGATGTAATTACGTGGCCCAAGATCGGCATATTTCTTTCTACCCATTAGAGATTACATGTAGAAAATAATTCACAAAGACTGATGAAAAAATGAACTAGAAACCAGAGCTGAGGATGTTGAGGGAAGTGTTAAGTGGACTGGTAAGTCTCCTTTGGTTTTTCCTCTTAGGTGTGAAGGGACTTATTTAAAACATCATAGTCTACTTGAAGGAATAACTTTTACACACTCTGCTGTCAACCTTTGGCATAGTCACTAATGAAGAGGAATGTTGGCATGACTAATCCATGTAATTCACACGTGGCTCCTGAGTGTGGTTTGTAATTACCCTTGAACGTGGATTTAAGTGTGAGATCCTGGGGATTCATTTAAACCCATAATGCAGCCATACAGTGGAAACCTTGGTCAGGAGAATTGGGAGGAGAACACACTTTCCCCTTCTGCCCTGGCTCAGTTCTCCCTGTGGCCACTTTAAAAGTAGATGTATTGCTTAGAATAACACAAATCAACCATTGACCTGTTGTCCTTTCTCTGCATATTTGAGTATTCATTGAAATGTTCTTATTTTAAGTGCTCCTTATTGGACTGCAGGCAGAACAGGGGAAGGTCAGAGACTACAGCAAACATTCCATCTTTCTGACGATGAGTCAAGTAAATCTTAGAGCAGTGGGTATTTTTTTTGAAGTTCCAGCACTCCTGTGAAGTCTGGCTGCAGTGAGATTCTCCATATTTTTCCTTACTCCTAAATTGAGATTTGGCTGATCTCTGCACGATGCTAAATACCCAGTTTGACTCATTAATTTTTCTGAACTAACTGAACTTTTGACCTAATTGGCTGGCTGATTAGGGATTACAGCCATATGTCCAGGTTTTTCTAAGCTAGTTCTGACTTTAACTCTGTTATCCCTCTATTCCCGTAAACTGTTGAAATATCCTAGTAACTCCAATGTTTTGACAGCCACACTGCACTTCTCAGCCTGCTGCTTTCTCCTGGAAAGTGGCACAGAAATGTGTCGGGCCATGTTTCCTGATTTTGGGTTAGGAAAATATGTTCCCCATATGGTTTCAGGCCGTGAAAACAAAGACCTAAAGAAGTTGTAAGAGGTCTTATCTCCATGGTGTGTCCCCTCCATCCCTATTTTTTTCACTTTTCTCTATTAGGCCATGGTATGTGATGAAGGACAAATTAGGTGCTGGGGTCAGTTTGAACCAAGGAAAGCCACAAATGTGCAGAGGGAACTTACTTTTGCCATTGTTACTGTTTTGGCCTTGCCTCTGAGGCAATTCTTCGTGGTAGATTTAAAGGCAGAAGAGCTGAACTGGGGAGAGGTGTAGTTTTAAAAACAATTTGTTGATGGAAACTGTAGACTGTGAAGGAGGATTTGAACTACATCCTCTCTAAGGGGACGTCCAACCAAGAGATTTTTGGATGCTTTGATCTCTGTTACTCACTCAGGAAGAATTTACTGAGTTCTAGCCACTCAACCCACTCACCTCTAGGGCTCCCCCTCTTCCAGTCCCTAGATGTTGTCCGTGGAAACTGCTTCTACCCTTACCTCCAGAGAACTCAAGAATTCTAACTCCTAGTAGGCTACGATGCAAACCTGTGTCTTGGTTTTTAAAATGTGCTTTTTCCCCTCAGGTATTCCATGTCAGCGTTTTCAAGACTAGAGAAGTTGGGCATCAGACATCCCAAGCCTTCTCCTTTTATTGGAAACTTGCCATTTCTCCACCAGGTAAGGGCTGTCCTCCACTGTCTTCGGCATCAGGTGTGCTGAGCCCCGTGTGGCTTTATCCACGAAGCACAGTCGCCTTCTCTGTGGCTGCACCTGGGGAGGTCTCTGTGTGAAGGTGCTATGATGAACCTTTCCCTACTTGTGTGAATTTTTTATATTATTATTAAAGTATGGTTGGTTTACAATGTGGTGTTAATTTCTGGTTTACAGAATAGTGATTCAGTTACACATCTACATATATATTCATTTTCATACTCTTTTTCATTATAGGCCATTATAAGATATTGAATATAGTTCCCTGTGCTATACTTGCATGAATTCTTATGTGATGAGAATGATCCCTCACTGATCACTCATTAATACGTATTGAGTCCTGTCATCCAGTCATTCACCCAAAAACCCATTTATTTCCGGTCTAAGTGTGCCAGGCCCTGGAATATGGAAGAAGTAAAAGCCATCCATACCCTAGTGCTAGAGTGGATGGTATAGACGCTAGCTGGGGTTGCCCTTCAGAGGAGAGGGAGATCCGTCAGGGCTAGAGTCATCCTGGAGGACTTCCTGGAGAAGGGGATCCTGCAGGAGTGGTAGACACAAAGACAAGGACACACACACCAGGTGGGGGGCAATGATATGTGTGATTACATTGCTTGAGGAGCACTCTGGACCAGAAAGTGGAGATTGGGTAGCTCCAGGGAATGCTGCTGTGAGACAGAGAGACAGAGAGGCAGGCCAGATCACAGACAGTCTGGAAAGGCAAGTGAAGAACTATTTGTGAGCAAGAGGGGAAGAGATAACTGTGAAAGAGAAGAACGGGAGGGGCAAAATTAGTAACTCTTGTGGCTAATTCGGTGTGAAGAATTCAAGGCAAAATGAGTCAAACATGTCTTTAAGTGTTCAGCCAGCGTAACAGGGAGAATGGCTGCAAGCTGGCAGAAATAAAAGGTTGGGCGGTCAGCTGGTTTAGGGAGGTGCCTTTGATTTGCCAGAGTGACAAGAAAGTAGAAATGTCCCATGGGCTCTTGGAGATCTAGGCCCAGGACTCTATCTTCTAAGGTTTTTTTTCCTTTGCTTCTCACGCTGGGTTTTCTCAGAAGTCAGGTGATTTATTCTGCTGACTCATGGGGTGCTGCCACCAGACCCACCATCAGGAGCCTGCAGACCCCGCATGCGAAGAGCCACAAAGCCAAACAAAGGCAGGAAGGACTAAACTTGGGCCAGTCCTGATAATATCCCTTTAAGCTCTTTTTAGGATTTCCCCACCCCTGCCCCCGGAAAGTCTGGCCCTCGGCATTAGATGGAAAATCATATCGGCTATTTTTGTCCTTTTTCCTTCTCATCTCAGTTTCTGTTCTTTTCTTTTCTGGCCCTTGCTCTGTCCAACACCCTTTCCCACCCTTTATTGTTGTTTCTCTCACTCCGCTGTTTATTTTTAAACAACACCTTTCTTCTCTCATCTCTAGTTCAGGGGTGCCCAGGCCACAACTCTCAGCCTATAAACTGCATCTCATCAAGGCTTCCCACTAGCTCCTTGAAGCCAGTGCGAAGACGTTTCTCATGTCAAAACAGAACAACAAACTAGATAGGAAATTAAAGTGAATAAATTTCACATTTTTCTTGGGGGAAATGATCAGTTGCACGCGGTTGAGTAATTAAGTTAGTATTAACACGTTGAGGAAAACTGTATCACTGCCAATGTGACGAAAACATGGTGCTCCTCTGGATAATTTCCACAGGTGCTCCTTTTCTGCTCACCAACCTCATGTGTGCAAACCCGCTAAGTTCTTACTAGAACATAGTCATTTCATTGACTGTTTTTATATTCATATAAGCTTTCATTGATATACGGCAAACTTAGATGGTGACGCCAGATTTGATGACCTGGGATATATTCCCATCGAGAACGTCCAGCTCTTCTACCCCCAACCCTCCACTCTCACCCACCCCTTATATCCCTGCCCATATACTCCGTTCCCATAGCACAAGTCTCGCATTTTCCTCTCCTCCACCTCCATCCCAACCCTGTGCATTCTCATGTATGTTTCTCTCCCACAATACAATGGACCCAGCCATTGCCAACCCTTCACCCGGGCAACCCCCTGTGTATATCTGCACACACGCCATCCCCTCTACACAACTCCATCCCTACAATGCAACGGATCTAGCACTTCTTGACCCTCTACCCCGACTCGGACTCCACCAGGAATACTCCTTTCCCACTGCAATGCGCATCTAATATATAAAGTCACTCTAAGGTTCTTACGTTTTGAATATGTTGATTTTAGTTAAAATTTAACTTGGATCATAACTCAGAATTTGTGATAATTTGGGTGCACTCAGCAGACATATACACATTTACATTTACAGTGGCTGTGAAAAGAGGCTTTGCCAAAAATAATAATAATATAAACCAAACTGCAGAGGGGAATGTTAACTTAGTCAAGAAAGCAAACAGTTTCCAAATATTTTAGCAGCAATTACACACAAATAGTATAAGTACAGATGAGCTCTTCTGTCCCTTAAAGCAGAGCTGACTGAGACATTTTTCTTAGCAATATTTTTCCCCCAAGCTACTAGTTTATTCTAATAGTCCAAAGTGTATGAAAGCACTATAACTTCAATTATTTTTTATTGTTTATGTGATTGTGTTCTCACCACTCCAGTATTTTTTTCTGAATTTGTCTGACTATTTGAAATTTTGTTTCATCTGATTCTTACCATAGTGCTGTGTTTTCTGCAGGGTTTCTGGGAAAGCCACATGGAGCTCAGAAAGCAGTATGGACCTCTGAGTGGGTGAGCGGGAAGCTCCATTCTCCTTTCATGTATTTTGCTTGTGTGTGCTGAATTGATGCGGAAGTAATGACAAGAATGAGAATGTCGCAGGTCTTTATGACTTTTGAGGAGCCACAAAGAGAGTGCCTGGCAGTACAGGCGAGGCTCCCAGAGCAAACCCCAGGGCTGCCCAAGGGTGCACAGCGTTAGCCTGAAGAGCACCACTTCCCAGCCTTTTAGACCTTGACCACCTCTCACCACAGTGCCAAAGGTGTGCTGCAATGGATGCAGCGGCCCCCCCATGCCCCAGTCCAATCTGCCTTGACAACCCATGCCAGGGCTTTCCCCGTGAACGTGTCTAAACCTTATTCGGATCTGTTTTGCTCAACCCTATGAGTAAAATATGCTGTCCTCTGTGTGGCCATATAATCTACCACGAATCCAGTACACGTCTGAAAGTTAGAGGGGGTGCTGTGAACAATTACCCCAGGACAACGGCAGTAACTAAGACTGACCAGGATGTCCTGGGACATACAGTACCCAGCAGTCTCACACACACACACACACACACACACACACACACAGTTACCCTAATTCTCAGCCAAGTGAAAAACTATATGCCTTCCCCGTATTTTCCCTTTTTTATGCTTCGGAGTGTGTTCCTTTAAAAAAAAAATCCAGAATCTAACATCCTAGAATTCCAGAAATTCCAGGATCTGACACACAGACCCATGAGCAGACCATGTACCCTAGTCAAGATGTAACAGATTTGGATCCTCTTGATTCTCAGGATGTGTCTTGCCACACTAGAGTGCTAGTCATTTCAGCCTGTTCTCACACAGCTTCGCCTCAGCCACTGGGTGACTGTTAGTAGCTCTTTCCTAGACTTCCAAGTCCATGATAACATTTTTTAGGTGCAGTGAAGTTCTGTGGTGTTCCTACTGTACAGCCTAATGAGGTCCAGTGGTTCGTGAGCCCTTCTACCCATAAGATATGGGATGCTTGCTTTCCCAGTGATGATTTTCAAAAGGCATTGACTTGTACCCTTTGTGGAAATGCTGGGAGACCCACAGTTTTGGCAAAGATCTTCTAACCACTCTTTTAGTTTGCTATGTAACCCTGCAAAGGTAGTGCATTAAGATTTTCTACTAAATGCTCTCTAATTAGTTATCCAGCAATAGCAAACTACTGTAGTGACTTAAACAAGAAGTTACTGTGTGTCATGTGCCTAAGGATTGGCTGGAACTGACTGATCTAAGCTAGCCCGGCTGGGAACATGGTGTGTGTGCAGGTTCAGCGGGGCAGGTGGCTCATCTTGGCCAGCTCAGTGGGCGCAGCTCTGTTCCTCCTCGGAATGGCAGGCAGGCCAGGGCAGGCTCTTCTCATGGTGAAGGCAAAGGATCAAGAGAGCAAGCCCAATTGTACAAGAACATTCTAAGTTTCTGCTACAGCATGTCTGCTAACGTCCTATTGGCCAAACCAAGTTATATGGCTGAACTCAAAGTCAGGGCAGAGAGCACACTCTGCATGCAGTGAGGCCAAAGCAAGTTACTTGGCCAAGCTCAACACTGGTGGAGCAGGGAGCTGAGCTGGAATTACTCTGAAAGAAGAGTGGAGAAATGGTGTGTATCTTTCAATAAGAGGCAACTCCATCTCACTCTCTAAGATCACTTTTAGCTGGATCTCATCCTCACTTACTTCTCCTTTGTGTGTGTGTGTGTGTGCGCGCGCGCGTAGCTTCTTGCTTGAAGCATAATAGGTACTCAAGAACTTATCTTTCCAACAGTCTCATTTTGCACTTGACTTGACATTGACCTTGGAGACTGTTCCATGCATTTCTGAGACAGCACTGACTCAGATTGCTGGTGGTTAGAAAAAGGCCTCCCTGAGTTGAATTCTAGGAATCAGTTCCCTGGAATACGTCTGTACAGATATTCAGAGTAGAGCCCTTGGGTATTTCAAAATAACTTTAAAATATCAGATGAAGAGTTTAAAGGGCACTGTATTAACTGGTGGGTGGTGTGGTATGCTTGTGCGTGCACATGTGTTGGCGGTGGGGAGGTGGAGAGAGAGAGAAAAACAATTGATTTCCTTGACAACAGGATGTCCAATTAAATTTTCTCCCCAACTTTAACTAAGTTAACACAATTTATCCTTTCCATTTCAAGAAAACTTAATCATAGAGAATGATTTCAAATGAGGTTATAGAGATAGAAATTGCAGTATCATCTCCACTCTTTGTTCTCATCTTTCTGGTAAACAGGGGAAAAAAGTAAGGTGATAGCATAATTTCTTCAAACAAATCTACCGGCTTTTTTCTGCTTGGAAAATGATGAGCTGTAATATGCTGACTTCTTTTTAACTGTGTCCACGCCTGGATTTAGAGGCAATGTGGTGATGGATTAATGTCCTGTTTGAGCTCTGGAAACTGGGTGAGACTCAGTATGCTCACCTTTTCAGATGAAAGGGTTAAACTAGTCTATATAGAGGGTCCTTTCCAGCCCTAAAAATTATTTTGTTACTGCTTAAATTTTTTTAAAAATGGTTTCACTGATTGAGAATGGCAAAGGTAGACTATGTTCAATGAAAGACCCTTCTTTGAAGAAATGATTTGTTTTAAATTGTCTTAACTTTTAGACTCCTTCTGTCATTAGGAAATATTATCGATCCCAGATAGGTTCTCTTAAAATTGAAATAATAGACTGATCCACTATTAAACAAGTTAAGCCCCACACTGTTGATGCCATTCAGAGATGCACGTGTCCTTAGATGACAGGGCAGTACTGTATGATGGGAGAAACGTGAGCAGAGAGGATCTTCTCTCTACTTTGTACCTAAAAGCCAAATACGATGGTCATTTATGCGTATTATCTGTTGTCATCACAGCAACTCAGTCAGAGTGTGGGTCCCCAAACTGGAAATTGGCTTCTTACCCTTTTCCCTTTCTTGCTATGAGGCAGCTATTGCTGCAGAAGCCTTCTGCCAAGAGGGGTTGACAGTATCGATGTTTATTACCACCACCACCACCATTGAGAAGAAAATGTCTTCCCAAGTGTCTAATTACATAGCCGTCTCTGCTAGGCCACGTGCAGATGAAACTAGGCACTTTGAACCCGGCTTCTTTGAACTTGAATGTAAAGAAGGTGGGCTGGTATGAACACCTATACAACTTTTATTCCCAATACTTGACTAGAACTCTTTTGATTGCGTATTAGTATAGTAGCCCCCCTTATCTTTGAGCGATATGTCCCAAGACCCACAGTGAATGCCTGAAACCACAGAATGTACTGAACCCTATAGAAATCATGGTTTTTCCTATACATATATAGCAATGAGAAAGTTTAATTTATAAATTAGGCAAGGAAGAGATTAACAACAACAATAAAATAAACAATTGTAAAAATATACTGTAATAAAATTTCTATGAATGTGGTCTCTAGCTCTCAAAATATCTTACTGTACAAATTCAATGCCTTTTCCATCTCAGCTAAGCACTCATCATGCACTGTGGCTATTATAACTTTTATAGTTTGAGGTGGGACAGCAAAATTCGCAGAAATTTCTTTTCCCTTCTTCACAATTTCATGGATAGAAGATCTCTCTTACTGTAGATCTTAGCAATCTCCCCATATGATTTTTTTCTTTCCTTATTAAGTGGAGAACTTCCAACTTTCTACTTGCAGGAGATACTTTATAGCTGCATTGCCAGCATCATGACTCTTGCACTTTGAGGCCATTATTAAGTAAAATAAGAACTACTCGAACCCAAACACTGAGATACTGTGACACGCAATCTGAAAACTGATTTGGCTACTAAGTGACCAACGGTGAGCGGGATAATCTGGAGAAAGGGATGATTCATGTCCGGGGCAGGATGGAGTTAGAGGGCATGAGATTTCATCACACTACTGAGAACACTTAACAATTTAACACTTATGAATTGTTTATTTCTGGAATTTTCCGTTTAATATTTTCCAATAACGGTTGACTGCAGGAAACTGAAACCAAGGAAAGCAAAACTGCAGGAAAATGGGGGCTAATGTACCCTTGGCAACATAAAATGAAGAAAGCAACGCTTTATTGTTTTAAATAACCTTCAGTTAATCATTACTGGTTATCTCCTTCAGTCTGAGAATGAGCCCCAGGTTGGATTTATGTTCCTTCCCGAACCCTAAAATCACAGCATCAACATGATCATCATACCTTTGTGATTGACTATAAACAGGATAGAGATGACGGCCCCTCCAATTTGTAACTGACTTTGTAATCCAGTGGATGACAAGCATTTATTATACTATTGCTACTAATTACTTATAAATACATACACAGCAGCCCAAGTTCGCCTTGTGTGCAACTGATGAAGCCCCCAAAGCTTCTCTTCCCCTTCTCTCATCTCTCTTGTAAGTGACAGCTCTGCAGCTATTCTTTTATTCAGCCTCATCCCCATTTCTTCTTGCTCCCCCATCACTTTTCGTCTTGATTTCTAGGATACTCTCAGCTCACTCTTGTTGAATTTAACTCCCATGCTTCTGGGCATCCAGCACCTATGCCCTCCCCCCATTTGATTCCTGTATCCCTTCAACAAGCCAGATTTGTTGAATGACCTTCTGTGCTCTCATTAGAACATTAGGGTGTAAGTAGGTAAACATACGCACAGTACATAATTCATAAAGTACAAATAAGTACACAGAAAAAAGTGAAGCTGACTCCACCTTGGACCCGTAGCCAGTCTTCCTCAGAAGACTGCTATCAATTTCTGAATACTCAGATAGGTAACAGACAACAGATGCAGTTCTTTACCTCGCTTTCAGTAATGATATTTGGGGAACTGTCCCATTTCAATACATTCATTATTCTTAAATGCTATTCTGTTTTTTAAAGATTCATTGCATGGTTGTATCCTAATTTTACAAATAAGTTCTCAGTTGATGAACACCTTTTGCTTTTATAAACAATACCGCAGTGAATATTCTTGTATACACGTCATTGCTGTCGTGTGTAAGTATGTCTGTCAGGTAAAG